ACAGAACCAGTACAATGTGTGCGACATAAAATGTAGTGTGTTCATCTGACCTTTTTGCAGGGGGCTCTCGGTAATTTGAATGTGGGGAATAGTGCTCCATTGATTTGCACATTAAGAAGTCAGCAGCATGTACTGGTACCAGCAACATTGGCAAAAAATTAATGGCCCTCTTGATTTTATTCCCTTTTTCTTGTGAATGATACATGTACCATACTGTTTGCTGTCTAAGGGGCATATCGCAAAGTTTATCTTCATCAGAAATAATACTAAAACACAAGCTTGGTTTGATTATGCCACTTTTTTCTGAGGGAAAGCATAAAGTTGAATTTCTTGAGCTGTAAGACCACATCCCTTTGAAAGTACCGTACTGTAAAGATGTACGTGTACCCTGCATGCTGACCGAGGATGCGCAGTGAAGTTCCTCCATTCCTCTGAGGAGACAGGTAACATAGCATGATCAGTGTCGGGGGCCAGTGCAAACAGGGCTCAGAATAACAGCTGTAATTGTTTTCTTCTGAGGGGGGGTGCCAAGGGAAAGGAGGCTTGGCAGTCTCCCTGCCTCAGGCAGTTTGCCAAACCTTGGCTGTGTCTCCAGCGGCCCGGCTTTTGGCTTCAGTGTCACCGCAGTGAAATGGTTTGGTGGAGTTGGTGTGTCGAGACAGCCTCAGGCAGTTTGCCAAACCTTGGCTGTGTCTCTAGCGCCGGCTTTTGGCTTCAGTGTCACCGCAGTGAAATGGTTTGGTGGAGTTGGTGTGTCGAGACAGCCTCAGGCAGTTTGCTAAACCTCGGCTGTGTCTCCAGCGTGGGCTTCAAGCTTCAGTGTCACTGCAGTGAAATGGTTTGGCGAAGTTGGTGTGTCGAGACAGCCCCGGCTCAACGCAGTTCCATTTGCCGCCACAGACACATCGCGCCGTCCAATGTTCATCACGCGCGCAGACACCTCAAGTTTTCGTACATGCATAACATGAATACTTGTCTCGGGTACCCCTATGCCAAATATTTAAGCGTGAACCAAAGCTCATCTGGCTGTCAGGCATGCAGAAATCCACATGGCAACACTTACCATTCCTGTGCAGAGTAAGAACTACATGTACATGTGCTAGGATCATTGTGTCACAACCTTTACGACAGTTATTGCTATTTCATTCTGTAATACTTGTGATTTTGTTTTGTCTTCCTTGTTTTTTTTTTTTCAGCATAGGAACAAGGATCTCCAGGACTTCAAGATGGCCGGCAGTGCCCCAGGCCATGGACCCAAGATGTCCAGCACGGTGGAGCTGAGATTCGCTTGCAAGAACCTGCCAGACAAAGACATCACCTCCAAGTCGGACCCTGTGGCTGTCCTGATGGTCTTTGACACCCTTCAGAAAGTATGGGTCGAGGTGAGGTCATGACTTGAGTTGCAACGCTGAACAGTTTGGAAGAATGAGCCCAATCCCCCTCCCATTGAGCCAGTTCGGTATTTTCAAGATTGCATGCTCAAAGTGAAAGTCATTGTCTTTGAAGAACATCAGTATATGAATGCGAGTTAAGCCCTAGCTATCGAGCGGGAAATCCGGTATGCCTACTCACATGCAGAGTGAACATGTCAAAACTGCTGTGATGTCAGCTCGATGCTTTATTGTCAAATGACCTTCAGTGAAAGTTAACCATGAAACACTTAACTGGCTTATTGGGGTGGATCAAAAAATGTTCAAGTTTATTGTTCGGTAGAGTGACTATATGTTTGTTGTGTGTTTGCTTTATTAGCCACAACAGTTCTTGCATAGTATGTGTCCTGATCTGCATACAAAAATGTGGCACTTGTGCACCAGAGCTCCCTAAGCTATGCTGAAGAGGAATGGTTGGGCTGACTCTTAGAACTTATGCACAATGCCAGCATGTACACTTTGTTTTTCCGTTCGTTTGAATAAGATAAATTACCACAAATTTAGTAAGACCATCCTGAGGTATAGTCCCGTTATATTAATTCTGTGGGCCTTGAATCGATCTGAAGATTTTCTTCAATCTATAATGTACACGTACATGTATATTGTACATGTGCATGTACCATTGTATCCAAGAGTTTCCATGCATTTGCTTAGTGCTACCGTACATGTACATGTACACATACATGTACTGGTACACTGTATACTTGGGGGTTATGGAGACCACACATGTGCTGATTGCTGATATGTTACGGGCACCCAAAATGTTAGGGGGACAATTTTTGTCCTACAACTCAGTCGTAACTTTATTAACAAAAACAAATTGTCGCCTTATTTGTATTTAGTGTACACTATACAGTATGTATTGTGTATGCTTGTAGTAGAAACAGATTGTATTTTTGCCTGGTGAGACATCATTGTTACAGTTAACATAAACAGTGTAGCGTCTTGTGTTCGACTGTGCTTTTACGGAGTACATTGGAAAGTTTATTTTGAATCACTTGACACTGTCAAGTTAACATCACCTTGAACTGAACTCTGTGCCATTCAATCATACTGACAAACTCCCGAGTATCCCAATCAGTTCTGAATTTACGATGTTTTGGAGCTGGATTATTGATCTACATGTAGATGCATAGGTTTCTGACATTAATGGAATGCATGAATAAATCATCACTTGACTTGTTTATAATAGAGAGTCATCTGTTCATATTTTTTGGGGGGAGAGTGCTGTATTGATGTTGATGGTGGACATTTAGCATTTTTAGGGAAGTGTGTTTACTAGTAGTATGCTGCACGTACATGCATGATACCTGTGTTATGTTAACAAAACAACCACCACTAACTGGAAATGTGTGAATATCACTCCCGTGTTCTGCATGTGGTACATGTTGATATTTTTTGGCATGGATTAATTCTCCCCTTTTTTTTAAATTAGGCCCTCCCTTTTTTTTTAATTAGGCCATATGATTGAAATTTCTGCATAGTAGGCAGGAGGTCTTGGGCGCTTGAACAGCACTGAAAACGCAGTGTAATTATGAAAATGCGCTATTGGTGTACATGTAAAGGCAAAACAATTATTAAAAAATGAACAATGCTAGCATGTGTACCATACCACACATCTTTGAAATTGTCTCAAATGTTAGTCAGTGAAAAGTACCAGTACTGCACCTCAGTAACATTCAATGTGAACCATAGAGGTGTGGTTTCTTAGGATTCTGTTAGATTGCAGGATGTTTAACCCTAAAATTCTGGATTTCTGCAGGTTTATTCATTCAGGTTTTGCTACATTGTAGCACTTTGAAATGATACAAGTTGAACACCTTGACCTTTAAAAAGCACATGGGTAATTCCAGAAATTAGGGGTCCATTTTTTTTTCATGTCCCTGTCACATCTGACATATGATTTTGTAAGTTCAGAACACATTTTGTAATTTCCAAGAGTGATGAATTAATGCATATTGCCTGCCAAACAAATGGTAATAGTTTGAAATCAATTCCGATGATATTTCCATGTCAATAACAAAGGTCAGATGTAACAGGAACTCCAAAATGCCACACTTTTGGACCCCTCATTTCTGGAATAATCTACATACATGTATATATGTTTTACAGAATCTGCATTACCTCCTTTCTAGTTGTACATAAATCAGACTGGAATGTCAAGGTAGGCATAATGCTGGATATACATGTAGTTTGAATGTATTGCCTACCCTGTCCAGCCTTGAGCTGTTTGAGTAGCCTTGAATACATGTAGTTTACATTAATACACTGTAAATGTGTGTACATATACATGTAGGTGCGCTCTCAATTAAGTCAAGTGATCTCCACTTGGAGATTAGCTGGATTGCATTGCCCGGGCTACCGCGTCATAGATCAAATTAGAGCCTGGGTAATTTGATAGCGACGGAACAGAAACACAACTTTGATCTGTGGCATATGTCATGTGCGAACCCGCTGTACCGCGAAAAGGCTGGCTGTCGCACTTTTTCTGCTCAAGTGACATTTGCAGTATCCCTGTTCTTTTTCCTTTCTGTCTCTAGTTTGGCTTACAGACTAAACTTGAGAACATTACAAAAGCCAGTGGCAAAAGTCTGGGACTACAAAATCCATTCTGAGGAAATGATTTTTCTTTTTTTTAGGCTTACGGACTAAACTTGAGAACATCACAAAAGCCAGCGGCAAAAGTCTGGGACTACAAAATCCATTCTGAGGAAATGTTTTTTTCTTTAAAGTGGGCTTGTCACAGACTTTGACAGCAGGGCTATTGCGGTGGATGAGGGAAGGGAGGGGAGATAAAACAAGAGAAACAAAAACCAATTGTGACCTGTAACGACAAAATGAGAGTAAAGTCGCATCTCGCTCTTCGCTATTTGGGGGTTCAAAGTCAACCTGAAACGGAGGTCAATTTTGAGGTTTGGAAAGAGTAACCCACGGTCTCCTATTTAATTCCAAATATTCCGCAGGATCATATATTGAAAAGGGCTGTTTTCTCAGCAATTCTGACGATAGCATTATTTGTGCCAGGTCTGAAATAGTGAAATACAGTATGTCTGGAACAAAGATGCAAAGCGGCTAGTATAATATCACATTGTCACCTCATACTTTTACCCTAAGCATTTCATGTACATGTACCGTACCACTGGAAAGCTCTTTAAAAAGCTGAATTAAAAAATACCGGTATCTCAGTTTTTGAAAATTCTGACTTTCAGCTTATTTGTGGTAACAGGTCACAATTCAGATCAATGGTCTTCTCTGTACTTTGAGTTTAAATCAGTCCTCGTACTTGCTATTGACATTTTTCCTGTGATGTCACGATCCTGCTGGACCTCTGATGTGTTGTGATGGTAATGAGAGCATAGTGTTGTGATGGTAATGAGAGCATAGTGTTGTGATGGTAATGAGAGCATAGTGTTGTGATGGTAATGAGAGCATAGTGTTGTGATGTTAATGAGAGCATAGTGTTGTGATGTT